AAAAAATTATGCATTTTATTCAGTTTTGCTTTAATTCTTTTCATGCATACTTGTGTGGGTTTGATAACCTTGCTAGCTATAATATTATAATTGGACTAGTTTAAACTGCAAAAATTTTGGATCTGATGCAATTAGGCTAACTGATACTTGTTGATACAAAACTTGACACTATCTGTGCACACTATTCATGCTTTACATGTTGGGTAAATGAAAGGAGTTTGAGCACAAAATAGGAAAATAATGATAACCTTCTATTGAATTAAACCGTAAACTGCCTTAAGACAGTTTGGTGATGATTGAGCTATTATAGGGGAGCACTGAGATGAGTGGAGCTCCGTGCATGAATTTTGTTGTGTGGATTGCCTAAACAAGTGAGGTGAAGATTAGGTGAAAATCTTAAATTAGGGGTTGGTTTTGGAAACTAAATGTCTAGAACAATAAGGGCATAAAATAAATTTGTGAGAACAATACACTTCTTTTCATGCCTTTATGACTCGAGCAAGTAAGCCTGTAATAATATTTTAAAATCTGGTGCTCTAAGGTCAACTAGCTCGGGAGTCATCGGCCTAAAGCCCGCTAAAACGGTCATATAGAAAGCAAGAGGAAAAGAAGTTAATAAAAAGTCATCTGATCGAGCCTTTATAACTCGAGTGAATAAGCCTGCAAGGGTTTAAAACCTGGTGCCATAAAGCCAACCGGTTTGGGAGTCTTCGGTCTAAAGCTCGTTACATGGGTTATATAGAAAGCAAATGAAAAGATGATAATGAAAAATTAGAAGTTTAATAATAAAATTAGAAAAATTAGAGAAAAGAGAGACGATAACATGAAGAAAAGCCCTTGGACATTTGGTTAAAGAAACTATACCTTTGAGGCGAGGCAAGTAACCTAGTTTAATCTTGAGTGTCGAAGCAATCAAACTTAGGAGAGCCTTCACTTGTTGAAATGTAAACTTGTGATAGTGAGATTAATCCAAACTACGAGAGGGTGAGGATTACAGCTATGTAAATTCCTAATTTTAAAACACAAACCTGGGATAATTGAGTGAAAAGCATAAGTTTGGGGGGTTGTGTATCTCTCGAGCAAGTAAGGATACAATTGACCTCTCGGGGTCGGGACTCAAATCCATCATGAACCTAATATGTTGGCATGAACTCACATACACACGTCAAGTACGCATTTAACATGTGAAGGTTGAGGTCATTTTTGCACTGATATATTTCATAAAATCGAACACTTAGTCCAATCCTGAGCCGCAGCAGGGTATTAAGCCATGTTTGTTCAGAATTTAGTCACTATCTTATTTGAGGACAAACAATAGTTCAAGTTTGGGGGTTTTGATAAGTGTATTTTTACACACTTATTTAGTATTTTTGCACACTTATTTAGGTCACAAACATGACTTAATTACGAGCAAAATGATTGAATTGTGACTTAATTTCGTTACATTTGTGAATTGTAGGGAACACCGATGAACTTGGTGAAATTCATGAGAAAAGACGCGAAAAATGACTAAAATGACACAAAGTGAAAGTTCAAGGACCAAGGTGCAATTACCCAAAAGTTGACCCGATGAACAAATCAAGGAATTGGTTAAACCAAACGCCAATTGATGATGCCTTGGGATGATGGAAAGGAAAGAGTGAAGAAAAGAGGCCTAGAAGTGAAAGATTCAAGTAAAGGGACTAAATTGAAGAGAATGGAAGTTGAAGTCTACCATGCGGTCGGATGGTAGAACTCTCGTGCTGCCGCACGAATGGATGCAGGGAATTTAAATCGAAACATGGAATAACCATGCGGTCGCATGGTAATTTTTTCGATACGAAATTTTCTTTCCTTATACGATTAAAACTCCTTTGGTAACCTAATATTCACGAGATATAAATATCAAAAAAAGTCCAGAGACGACCAGAACACATTGGGAGGCAGTAAAACACATCTTGAAGAGGATTTGGAGCGCAAGAATGAAGATTGGCTATTGGAATTTCAAGAATTCTTCTAGTTTTTATAATCCGGTGATACTTATTACTCAAAACTTGATGTATTTTGTTATTTTAATCATGCTAGGCTAGATTTTCATATGTTAGGAGATCGATGAAACATGTAATTAGAATTTTAATCTCCTAGTTTTGCAATTTGATATTAAGACACATTTTTATTGTTTTGAATGATTTATATGCAATTAATGTTTTCGCAATTAAGGGCTCGTAATTGTGTGAATTTGAGTGATTTATTCTTGCATTCGAGAGAATTGGAATAGATTTGACGTAATATAAATCATCGTAGGGTCCGATAGGGAATAGAATATACCGCTATGCCCTACGTAAATCTTTAAGTGTTCATAAAACCGCATGTATTTTTACATATGCTCTTACATAGGAATATAGGCCGGTGGTATGTAGAAATAGATTTGATACATCTTGAGAGAGAGTATTGGATAGACTTAGGAACATTGATTCGTCAAAATTGTAGTGTGTTGTCATATTGTGAAACTAGAGTTTAAAGTGATAATTGCATGGGAAATCGTGATCCTAGTATGTTTAAATTCTATTGATTATAACAACGTGCGTTCTCAACATTTAGTTTTACTCTAGAGTGTTAAAATATTGTTTTGAGTTTTAATTTCAATTTAATCATTAAATTTGCGTAATTAGGGTTTTAATTAGATTCACATCCACTTTGACAATCCAATTTCGGTTAAAGCTACGTTAGATAAAATTTGAACTAATCAATCTCTGTGAAACGATATTCGGATTCATTGAATCCACTTTATTACTTGTTAACGAACCGTACACTTGCGATGGTTTAAAATCGAAAGAAAATAATTTCCCGAACACAAACTTATATAAAATTTTATTTATCTACTTATAAGTAAATGTGAATGTGTGTGTGTGTGTGTGTGTATATATACCGGTGTTTAGCTTATATTAAACACCGATGACATGACATACCATTTAATTAGTGAATTATTAAATTCATGGGATTTACTATTAACTTATTTGTCAATTAAATAATGTTTAATGTCACCGGTACTTAGGAAATCATTTTCATATATAGTAATACACCTTAATTTACCTCAGCCATATCACATTAATCCTATTCCTCTAATACCGATATCAATGACAAAATAGTAAAATACAACTTAGAAGGGTGTTAGTGAGACCTCCAACACGTTAAATACAAGGAAACCAAATTTGTCCGTCCTAAAGTAGAGATCGGACGTGATAGTAAAAAGAAGAAACTACCCTTTATGCGATGTATTCGCACTCTTCATTATCATATGCAAAGTGTATGGTTCATTGACTCTTACTAGGTTGGTAACAATAAGGTCAGGGCTTAATGAACTTCCTATTTCTGTTCCTATGCAATTTAGGTGGCAAAAGGAGAAGAGAAGAAAAACAACTTTTGATCGCGTACTCATTGAAGCTAAAGTATAATTATTATGGTTTTAAAAAGCGTAAGACATGGGCCACAATGCATCCAAGTTGAACCTCAAACATTACGAAATTAGATGTATTCAGTGTTATGAGGCATTTTCTTATCTTTAATATTATTTGAATATTATTAATAATAATCTCTTTTATTTAATTAGCTCATTTAACTTAAAAATTAAAAATAAAAACGAAACAACATAAAATAAAGTGTGCGCGCCTTTTGGTGCGTACTCACACTAGTCACTCCTTTTGCCACCGAGGCCACCATTATAAGAGAAAATTTTCAGTAGGACGGTCGCACCGCCACATGATGAGACCACCCTACAAGGGAGGGCCACCGTCGAGGTGGCATCTTGGCATTGGAAGGTCACACCACGTGGACGGTGCGACCACCCTACTGATGATTTTCTCCCATTATAAGTTGTCAAAATAGAGCCGATCTTCTTTTCCTCATACTTCACACTTAGGTCCCATCTTTTCCCACTTTTTGAATACTAATATTTATGTTTTTTCCTAAATATGTACTTGCATGGAGGAAAGTTTGAAGAGGATTGGATGTTCCTTTAATTGGCTTTAGAGTTGCACTTATGATCTAGAGTGGATAGTGACTATGAAAATTATCATGAACTTTAAAAATAATAATAACAATAATAATTTCACATGATGTATAGTGACAATATGCTTGACTCGTGCACACAAAATTTAAAATGGGATTTATTTATTTTATTTTTTTTCCTTTTTTAATCCCTTCGCCTCTGGTCAATTAGATTAGTTAAACTTGTATTTGTTTATTTATGACAAGGTAATCCATCCCTCTTTACTTATTTAGCAGAAATTAAAATTCAGATTTTACTCCAAATTAAAGTCAACATCTAATTTTTACTCTACATCTTATGGGACCCACAACTTTTCAACCATATATATTTCATCAATTTTTATCAAAATTTACTGAAAAATCTGGTTTTTATCTCTACCAAACCAGTGCTAAGTTTTGCAATTGTATTTTGAATTTTTATGTCAATATCAATAAATACTCCGACCTTACTCTTGAGGTGGATTGAATAAATTAACAATAAAAACATATACACACACGTATACATATGCATATAAATGAAATACCTAAAATTAAAGTTTCTTTAAAATTTCAAGCATCAATCAAAGGGATTCTTTGCCATTACTAACTGCAAAGTAGGTAGAGATTATATCTCATTATTCATAGCTAATTGTGCAGAATTAGCGGAATCAATTAGATACTCTTTCCTATTATAAGTAACCTAAAATTAAGTGAATTTTGAGAGCATCAGTCGAGGGGATTCTTTACCATAATTATTAACATCTAATTCTTGAGAGAGTCTTTCTTATCAACAATAGCTAATGACCAAGAGAATTCGGAAGGAGGAGGATATTCTTTGGATTATGAACCCTGCATTTTGAGAATATTAAGGAAAACAAAGTCTGTTGGCACAAATCTAAACCAGAAGCAGCATCAACAAATATGCATAGCCACTGCTTTAATGTCGGGTTGTCAGTAGATAACTGTTTTACCGGTTATACAGGCAAAGGATTAGAGACCTCTATAGATGGTAGCCAAATTGAAGGGAAAACAAGGAAAGAAAGAAACACACATGAACAAAGAGAGAGAGTGTCTCTTCTGATAGATATAGAAAGAAACTTGAGAAGGGAGAAAAAAAATGACGACTGAAACAGCTCTAGTTAATCAAGAAGCTGCCGAAAATCTCAAGAAAAATAGAATTCAGGTGTCGAACACCAAGAAACCTCTCTTTTTCTATGTCAACCTTGCCAAGGTTGCACCTCTCTCCAAATATATTTGCGTGTGTATATGTTGTATATCGATCTTCAACATGTTTAGTCATGTTTAAAGTGTACTTTTTTGTTCAAAGAAAGCACTTGACAATGTACTTCTAAATTTTAAATACAGCCAAATTTTTAATGGAATCATTGAAATTTATCTTTCTTTCTTTTTCTTTTTCCTTTTTTTTTTCTTTTTTTTTATTTTCTTTATTTTCTTTTTTATGCAGAAGTACCTACAGCAACATATGGAGGTCGAGCTCTCAGCTTTAGGCATGGGTATTAAAATATTAAATCTTCTCTCTCTCCTTGTATTATATTTTCTACCCTTTAATTTTTGCAAATAAAAAAAATAAATAATAATAATAATAATAATAATAATAATAATAATAATAATAATATCGGGTAACAAGTAAAAACTCCATTTCTTCTGGAGACTGTTAAGCTTAACACATCAGATTTTGCTTCTTTTTTTCTCTCTTAATAATCAATATTGTACCATTCATATCACCAAACAAACCATTTTTGTTCCAGACTCGAATAGGAATATGAATAAAAGCCAATCAAAACCTTGTCTACTAAATCTTTCAAAAAAATTAAAAAGAACCTTGTCTATTGAAGATGTGTAAATATTATCTTTGAAAAAATATGCATTTCTTGAAAACGAAAGTTTCCATTCCTCCAATGTTTCACCCTTTCTGTAAGTGGATGTGTTTATCTTGCTGACATTGTTTGGCAATATTGTTACAGCAATCGCAACAGTTGTCACAATAGCTGAGATTCTGAAGAATAATGGATTTGCAATTGAGAAGAGTGAGTAACTTGTCCCATCAATCTTATGGCTCATTTCTCGAGAAGCAAAATCTCATCTATGTTAATGTCGAGCACTGCATACCAGCATTCCAAGTGATTACCACTCGTGAATCTAACACTCCGTATCGTGATTTTCAAGCAGGTATTTTGACATCCACAATTGGGACGAAAGACGAAATTAAAAACCGTCAAGTTCAGAAAGCCAGGGTGAGTGTTTTCTCTATATCAATTAGTTTTTGACAAGAAATAGTGGAAGAACTTTACAGAGTTGCATTTGTATGCAGATTGAAATTGTGTTGGGGAAGACTGAAAAATTCGAGTCACTGATGAATCCAAGCCCTGCAACATCAAACGAGAAAGAAGAAATCAAGCAGTAGTATCAACAAAATTGTCTGATACTAACCCTCCATTCTTGTTGTATCTCAGTTTGATATTACTTTTCAAGTTAAACTACTTCTATGTATGATTTTAATTGATTAGGTATGCCAAGTTAATATCAATGCAATCCAATATAATCTGGTGTTGTAGCTGCACACTCGTCTTTATAGTTGTAACTCATTCAAAGTTTCTTTGTAATCTTGTTTCTTCTCAGGATTGTTAAATTATAGATGAAGGTTGTGAAAATTTCTTTTTTTCTCATCTATATTGTATTCACTATAGTCATAACCCACCTCTCTAAATGACATTTGATTAACAATTAATAACTTACAATCACTAAAATACAAATTATTTGAAGAAAAATAGTTTCTTCTTGTGTTTGTTGATGACGAGTAGAAGAGGGCACCTTGAATGCCAACGACTGAGCCATCCTTGTGTTTCGTGGACTGCCCTCGACTTCTTTGCTAAAATTCCTTGTCTCGGTAATCAATTTGGACATTCCAAATTTGTTGGCTGGTCATCTAATCTACATTATCGAACATGACTTTGCAGTTTAGATCACAGTGCAGTAGAACAATTCTATGACTGATCCCCTCCAAAATACAATTGCTTGATAGTTCGTCGTATAGTTCAAACAAACTCTGAACAAATAGTTAAATTCAAAGCTCCACTAAAAAAACACCCTTCTTTGCTCAATAATCTCTCAAAGAAAATGAGTAAAAATGTAAGAGAAGATGAGAGCATTGTGATTGTTGTGTTGGTGATGAATGACCAAAGAATCATCCTATTTATAGGGAAAAATAAGCCACCCAAAATAAAACAATATCATAAACACACTAATCCTCTCACCTTTCATTTTCCAAACTTCCAGCCTCTTCACTTTCCTAACTTCCAAAACCTACAATCTATTAAAAGAAAATATAATGAATGAATTTAAGGGCATGTTTGATTGATTCGAATTCCATTTGGTTCGAATTCCATGGAAAATGGAATTCGAATTCCACCTTTTTCCAATTTTGTGTGTTTCATATGTTTTATTTTCCACGGAATTCTATTTTCTTGGTTGTATTGGGATTTGGTATTTTCTTGGTTTTCCAACCCACTGTTCACGTTTTTTTTTTTTTTATGCAATGGAAACAAATTCTAAGAATTGTTGTAAAAAAAAAATATTTCTCTTTAATTGACAATTTTCATGTAAAATAAAGTCAAACGAACACCAAAAGATAGATGATTTTCTTGATTTTTTTTATTTGTTTTATTTTTTTGTGGCAAGGAAAACAAATTCTACCCCCAATACCAGTAAATTTGATCCATTTAATTGACAATTTTCATGTAAAACAAAGCCAAACGAACCCAAAAAACACTTTTATTTCAATATTTTTCACGTGGAAAGTTATACCAATCAAACACAAAAATTAACAATTCCTAGGAAAACAATTTCTAATCAATTCAATTCCTTGGAATTCACCCAAATTCCATCTTTACAATCAAATGGACTCTAATAGTAAAATGCACCAACAAATTGTAACATTTCTTGCAGGCGTAATGTCAGATTTTTTACCGGTAAAATTTCATCAGAACATGTTTCGAAGCTAGCTAACAGATTATTTTTTGAACCATCTTTCAAAGCTCATTGTACACAAATCCAATGTGTTTTATCTCCAGATTGCTGGTTCTAGATCTGTATATTAACTTTCATATTCGATTCGATTCTTGGTCTCCCGATAATGGGATTCCCTATGGTGCTATCTCCTGCGTGTAACTCTAAGCATCGCCGAGTTGCTCTAAAATCTTGCTTTAATAGAGGAATTGCAATTGCAGTAAGCACAGAAAATTCAATAGGTGCAGCTTATATTCAGTCGTGGGATTATGTCTCCAACCCAAAATGGAAACAAGAGATAGGTTGCTCAAGGAATTTACTAATATTTGATTCATAAAGATGAGCGGATCATAGATGTTGACTCTTTAAGCATGGTAATTACTAGAGAGAAAAAATGAGGCACATTAACGATTGCCCATGGATTTCAACAAAAAGAATGTATTATTGCAGCAAATAGAGGATTTATCTTCTCACCAATAAATGATTCCTTTGACAGGACCTCAATAAAAGAGAACTAAGTCGTATCCGATCAATGAAATGCTATGCTAGATGAATACATCATTTCTAAAACATGTACTTCAAAAATCATCAAATTACAGTGCCTGAAGACTGAGGACAATACAAGGGTATTCTACCAAATCTTCATAATGTTTTCATCAATTCATATACCCCCATGTTGAGATAGAAGGCATATGAGCAATATGGAAAGAAGAAACAAAGCCTTAATGAACACAGAAATTATAGAAACACAACATAGATGAACCTGCATTATCTATGAAAAGTTCTGAATTTGTTTTTGTTGAAATGATCTTCAAGAAAAAATCTGATATGAGCATGCTGAACGACGTTCAGAGATCAATTTTAAAGAGCATTATTCATGGAAGGTTCAGATATTTGGTAGACAGCAGGCATATTATTCCAGGTAAGACTCCATTCAGAACTCAAACCAGAAGTTCCAGGGTTCGTATCTTTTACTTCAGTGCCTAAATCATCTCCAAGAAGGGATGTTATGTCATCCATCACAGTGCCATGTTCCTTTGAACAGAAAGCACTCTGCTCAATCCAACATGAACCGAGTAAAGCATCAGGCCTGGAGAAATGCAATTGATTCAGATTTTCTCTCCTCTCTCCATCCAGGATCCAACTTTGTTCAATACCTACGGCAAGAAAACAAATAAGAGAACAATTCATGTCCTGCTAAGATAATTAATGCAATAACTTAATTTGGTTCTTATAACTAAATATATGTAGCAGTTTATATAGTTCTCCCACTAAAAAACAGCAGGATCATCAGGGAGGAACATACCAAACCTGTATACTCTCATTACGTGTGAAAATAGACAAAAATAAGAGAATAATGATGCATATGAATCCCAGGAACCTTCAAAACTGCCAAAAGGCACTTCCTTGTTCATCATTGTAAACTTCAAGTGGAGCCATCTTAATTCATCACAAACTAAAATAAATTAAGCTCAAGAATATTTCAGAATCACCATATCGATAGGATCCAGCTGACTGGAGCGTAACTTGCAGATTCATCCTCTAATCAAACACAATCCAGGGTAAAATTCGATAATGTACACTCAGTTCATTACTAATTTATGTATTAAAAAGCTCAACATCCAAACTGGATAGACATTCTGTATGCAAACAGCATGTTAAAAGAAGATTAGACGAGAAAAATGTATTCCTCAAAGATAGAATTATATACCATATTTCCTTTCCCAAACCCTTTGATTTCCTCCGGTTGCCCATCTGCAGCAACCAAGCCTCATTGACCATCATTCCAAGTCCACTACTACACTCCTTATCCCCCAAAACCTTTGATCTTGTCGCACTACCCCCAGCTCCTCCCTTATTCCCTCTTCTCCTCCAG